TATGACGGACCGCCCTAGATAGCGGATTAGTTATTTTTTATGTAGGTACCTCCATGAGATAGGTACCAAGTTAAGAAGGTTAGCTCTAAATTCAATATGGCCGATTTCAAATATTTTCTATTATGCCCTCCAATGGTATGGATATCAAATGGAAAGAATCGAAATGACATAAAACAATTTTACCATACTAATTTTACCAAGATGGTAAAATAATCTTTTTGAAAGTAAGTTTCAATCTAGTCTAATAGTCTAGTCTGAAAAATAATCAACTGTTAATGTGAATCCATAAATTACAATACTTGTTTTTTTTTTAAGGAATAACTAAATTTCGGAACAAGCTTAATATAAATGATTGTGTAATGAAATAAATTGCTGGGTTTAATTCAGTTCGAGGGTAATTTTCTTCCTTTCAGTGCATGAAAATGAAAGCTTGTTATCAAATTGTTACTATTTATTCATTTCTCAATCCGTCCCTGATACGCAACGGACGATTGAAAGTATGTCAGCACGTTCATTTGAATTTCCTCATTGCTGTCTAGTGTACCGAAGGTGTGACATCACTACCATAAAAGATTGTATAATGGAACACAAACGTTAAACGCGGGTCCAGAATAGGAAACTGAGGAAGTCATTTCTTTCTCTCTTCCTAAAGGCGGAAATAGTCTCAAACAATTTCACCATCACTGACGTTCTGTGTTATTGGCAAGATGCATAGCATATATCTGGTGTGATCACTTCGATCCCTTGGTTTCTGTCAAAACAGCTGGATCTACGGCACTCTTGAAGGTCATTTGTCACTGTTTATTTTCTATTACATTCATAGTTGAATCTACCAACGAATTTGCATAAGCAATCTCTTCCAGAACAGATACTAATGATTCGCACAAATTCGCCTTCACCTTCATGGGTAGGAAATTTCGGTGTCCATATATAATTTTGAGCGAATAATATGCACGCCTAATAAATTGATTAACCTGGCTTTCGAATGTCAAGTCCTTATCTAAAATGATGCCCAGGCTTTTGGCTTCTGGGACAACCCCAAGTATATGATCATTTACTACTACTTTCACCCGCAAATATCAAATATCATTTCTAGGGCCTTTTGGTCCGAAAACAATAACATTGGATTTACTACAATTTATATTTAAGTAGTGATCAGAAGCATTTTTCACAAATAATTTTAAGTCACTATTGATTTGAGTACGCGCATTATCTATCATTTCAGGTGAGAAGCTATAATACAACTGGGTATCGTCTGCATACAAATGTATATTACAAAATTCCAAACATTTTGCAAGTTGAGATGTGTAGATAGCAAACAAAAGGGGTCACAAAATAGAGCCCTGTGGCACTCCACATATCAACTTCAAATATTGTGAGCTGTTTCCTTCTATGGTAACCTTTTGTTGACGGTTGGTGAGATACGATCTGATTAGTGATATAGCATTTTTAGAGAGTCCTATATAGCCAATAATTAATAACATTAAATCAAAGTTTTAATCACTAAACACAATGTTTCAACTTTCGAACGAATCAGATGCACTAATAACCTTTCCACCAATGCAACCGAGACTATTATTCCATCTTTTATTTGACGTTAGCCACTCCAGATTTGAAGAAGCGCATATGAACTGGCATGTAAGCGATATTGAATCACTTAGTGATCATAACTCAATCATATTTGAAATAATGCACAGAGAGCGATTACCACAACAAGAACCAAAGCTAATGGAAGGGTAGAAGGTGAAGAAGTAAGACAAGCAGAAACTCTGTCAGATTACGATTGACAGGTTGAATTGAAATGACGGATCACTCACCAGAAGCTTTTAAATTCCATTTACATTAAATATGTGACATAATTATGCCTAGGAAAAGGAGTATACCAACTAAACAGTCTGTATATTGGTGGAATAACGATATCGCTCAAGTCCGTAAGGAATGCACACATTTGAGAAGAATATGGTTAGGTTAGGTTAGGTCCAAAGTGAGTGGATCTATTCGACTCTTCAACGCTACCCGCGAAGGTTTATTGTGGCTCACACCTTTTCACACTCGACCAAATAAACCCAGCTTCTTAACGAAGCCGATTGGTGTTTATGGTGAGTGATCTTTCAGATCAGATGGTAAAAATATGGCTCTGTCAAACTCTGAAAACTTAATTCGATCCCAAGCGAGCCAGGCTTAAAGTACTGCTCTGCTGTTCTATCATTTTCCAAACAGAGGCGACACATACCGTCTTCCGATAGTCAGAATCTCTGCATATGATGATTCAAATGACAGTCACTTGTAACATCATAGTTCATCCCTACTGTAGTCCAACAACTGTTTGGAATCAAGGTTCAAAGGGTGAATAAACGTCTTGGAGTGAGCCAATCCTAGAAGATTCTGCCAGAAGTCCATGAATCTTCTTGCCATCCAGGTGTTCAATCATTGTTTGGCGAACACTGAAGCGATGCCGACGTCAGGTTCTGCTCCGATGGAGCTGTTTGCAGCCCCCTCCTTTGCAAGGGAGGGTGCTGCTTATGGCAACACTAAAAGGAGCTGAAGAAAGTGCTTCAAAATAAAATTAGAGAAGTAAAACGTAACTGCTGGAGAACAGTATGCAACAAGATCGACTGTGATATCTGAGGAGACGGTTATAAAATCATTGTGAAGAGTCTCACTGGGTGTACACCAAGGTTACAAATACCAATGAAAACTGTGGAGAATGTGGTTAATCTTCTGTTTCCTATGCACAAGCAAGTGCATTTTCAATGTGATACAACAGTGATGTTCCCAGATTCTACTCTAGACGAGCTAGCTGCAGCTACTGCAAAATTGAAAGAAAATAAGTCCCTCAGTCTTTAAAAAACCCTCCGGAAGTGATAAAAGCTATGGCTTTGAATAATCCAGACTATGCTTTGTCTGTATATGATGGTTGAGCGTGACGGGCGGATTTTCCTAAAGAGTGGAAATGGGAGAAACTTGTATGACTGAAGGAGGGAGATAAATAAACCCATTGATAACCCGTCAGCCCATAGGCCAACTTGTTTGTTGGATGCCAAAGGAAAACTTTTTGAGATACTGATTCTCATTACACTCAAACACTAAGTTACACAACATGGTGGTTCATCGAAGTGTCAGTTTGGGTTCGTAAAGGAAAAACAAACGGTGGATGCTATATAATATTTGTTGAAGCTCACAAGGGAGGCAGGGTAATCATTTTCCTGGCCACGCCGGAGATTATACGTGACAACAATGCTTGACATTAGGAATGCATTCAACACCGCAAGGCGGCAGAAAATCCTGGTGGATTTGAGAAGGAGACGTGTTAACGAGAGCCTCATGAATCCATTGAGGTCATATTTGACAGATAGAGAGAGATCATCATTGAGGCAGATAATCTATGAGAATAAAAAAAATCAGTATCGGTGTACCTCATAGATCCGTTCTAGGTCAAATGCTCTGGAACTTTTCATATGATGGTTTTTTGAGACTGAAACAACAAGATGGATTCACGCTGACTGAATATGTTGAAGACATTACTATGATGGTGACAGCCACAGGCAAAGAGAGTCTAATGACAAGACAAGGGACTTCACCTTCGAAGCTTGATTCCAAACAGTTGTTGGACTACAGTAGGGATGAACTACGATGTCTAACAGGCCTTCTTACAGGCCACTGTCATTTGAATCATCACATGCAGAGACTTGGACTGTCGGAAGACAGTGTGTGTCGCCTCTGCCTGGAAAATGTTGAAACTGCAGAGCATATACGTTGTGCCTGCCCCGCTGGGGATCGAATCAGGTTCTTAGAGTTCGGCAGGTCCGTACTCTCACCATCTGACCTGAAAGACCACTCACCATTAAAAACTAATCGGCTTCGTTAAGAAGCTGGGTTTATTTGGCCGAGTGTCAATAGGTGTGAGCCACCCCCTTGCGGATTGCGGTGGAGGGTTGAATAGACCCACTCACTTTAGACCTATCTACCTATCTACGTGAAGCGCCATCTACCCGCGAATAGATCAAGCAATAATGTCAATAATTCTGTCAAATACAGATCACGAGCAATCAAACGGAAATAAATATGAAATATAATGGATAGTAACAAACAAACCAACAAACAAACATACATGCATACAGGTGAAGCTAATAAAAGCGTGATAAAAATAATAATAAAAATATACTCTTTTCAAATGAAGAAATCCATGTAGAGTGCTTTCGAATGATATCAAGGAGGTTCCGTACAGCGCCATCTGCCTGTGGATAGATCAAGCAAAAATGTCGATATATCAAGGAGGTTACGTACAGCGCCATCTGCCCGCGAATAGATCAAGCAATAATGTCGAATTTTATGTCAAATACAGATCCCGAGCTTGAGAGTTACAACCAAACAAACAAACATACATACAAATAAGTGAAGCTAATGAAATCGTGTTAAAATGTTTCATAAAATACAGAATAATTCATATAAGAATTTTATTAAATATACTGAAAATCGTGACATGAGGAAACTTTTCATTTTCAAATGGAGCAAATACATGTAAAGTGAGTTCGAATTATATCAAGGGGGTAACGTACAGCGCCATCTGCCCGCGAATAGATCAAGCAATATCGTCGATAATTCTGGAGTTACAAACAAACAATCAAACATACATACAGGTGAAGCTAATGAAAGCGTGCTGATTAAAAATCAGTTTATTTTTAAAGTATATCTCTAAGTATTACATATGATACTTGTTTGTCCCATATCATTGATTCATAAGTTATTTTTTCTTTCAAATTCAATCGTATAAATATTTTCATTTTAAAAATTATTTTTTCTTCATAACTTCAACATATCGATGAAATATACTCCAAACAATGTTCATAACAAGCTCGCTGCCATTGAAAGTCTATGTTTTCGCAGTAATGCGGCCAAGAAAGATGGCTATCGAAAGTAAAACTGGACCACTGAGTTGAACTAACGATCGCGTAATATCCGCACTGAAGATAGCCTCTGTGTACAGTTATGCAACGATTGTTACATGAATGCTGGTGCCATAACTTTCACTATCTGTACACGGAGTATTGTTACAGGAGCGGGGCAACACGAACAGAAGTCGCAAGGTGAGCGCTCCAAGGATCAATTCGTAGACGGTGAACCAGAATCAGTCGCGAAATGTTTTGATAGGATTTGCGTCAGTGGTCGGAAAATGGTGTCGACGGGAAAGGTCATAGTCAGGATAGTATTCGCGATATGTTTGATACTAGTGGTAGTGACGGACTATACCGGAGTTCTGCATAAGTTGGTCAGCGGAAACAAAATCGAAGAGGCTAACCACGTATCGCCCAGGCCCACCAATCCTGGATATGGAGATTCGAAGACTGATATAGATATAGATGCAGACATCGAGGAGGAATCGGTTAAAAACTTAGGTAAGGCTCTTGAAACATGTCACATGGATGAATGTAATGTATGTATTCACGTTTTTTACTTTTCCACGTCTAAACAGCTGAACAGATTCAAATGTAAGTTGGAATACAGGGTGTTCTATCTCAGACGAGCCACCCCGTATATTTCTTATCCCATAGTGAGTGGAGAAATTCCCCGAAACACGTCGAATAATTTTGTTTGGGGGACATCTTTTGACGTATATTCAGGCTTGAACCAGCAACCCCCTAATAAGGGGCTCTTCAACCCCTCAAACTTGAATAGGGGAGAGGGGTTGAGTGATACTTTATTTGAAAGATCTTGGAAACTCGAATGAGCCATCTTGAATAATTTAGTTATTTTTACAATGTACAAGCCCATTTTTATCAAGCCCTTTTTACAAACTCAAACAATCGTCAAAAAATTACATTTTTGAAAAATTCAATTGTGCTTACAATCAAAAAATCAAACATGCGTGTTTAAATCCAATGTTCAAATTATCCTCTATTGACTTCCATATAATAATACTTTCTCTCAAACTAATAAATGAAAAAACAGCAAAACATTTCTTTATCTTGCCTTACTTTTTTCATGCTTAGAAGAATTGAAATCAATCTGTTGAGTTACTACTTTGCTGATTTGTTTAAAATTAAAAAAAATATGGTGTACACATTGCAAAAACATGTTGAGCTAGTTAGCCTTTATTACAAAAAACAAAATTGTGCCCAAGCGGCTGCAGGGATATTTAACCAAAACCATCCTGAACGTAGCGTTCGCCATAATTACCTACTGGAATTGATTTCAAAATTTGAGGAGACGGGTTCAGTAATGGATAAAAAAAGGGGACCCATTGGAATTGTGAATGATGAAGGAGCAGCTGTGGCGGTATTGGGACATGTCCAACTTATGCCAAACACGCAATCTGTAGACAACTTTCTGCAGTTTCCGGTATTAGTCAATCTAACGTTTTAAGGATTTTACATAGACACAAGTTCCATCCGTTCCAAAATTAAATTAATTCATGAATTAAATGATGATGACTGGGATCGAAGGCAAGAGTTTTTCGAAATTATGGCCGAGCGTATCAACAATAACCCAAATTTCTTGTACAACGTTTGCTTTTCTGACGAATGCACTTTTTCACTTAATAGAGAGTTCAACCGGCATAACTGTAGAATTTGGAGCGATACAAATCCTCATGTATTTCGAGAAGCTCACACTCAACATTCAGAAAAGCTAAACGTTTGGGTAGGAATTTTGGAAGACCACCTAATTCGACCTGTTTATTCCTGGTAATTCAACTGGCGAACGATATCTTGAAATGCTGGAAAATGTGATTGATCCGTTGATAACTGAACAGTTAGAAAACGATCTTCTACTACTTGAACAACAATTACATTTCCAACAAGACGGAGCTCCTCCGCACTACGCCGCACCAGTTGGCCAATACCTCAATTTGCAATACCCCGTTCGTTGGATTGGAAGAAGAGGTCCTATGGAGTGGCCTGCCCGATCTCCTAACCTGAACCCTCTGGACTTCTCCTTGTGGGAACATCTCAAGTCCAAGATTTTTGTGACTCACCCTGAAAATTTGGACGAACTACGCCAAAGAATAATTGTGAATGAGTGTCGTCAACTACCTAACTCCAATCATGCTGAACCATGTCAGAGACGGTTTTCAGTCAAGGTTGTATTATTGTATGGAAATCAATGGAGGACAATTTGAACATTTGATTTAAACACGCAGATTTATTTTTTTGATTGTAAGCATGATGATAAAATAATTCAATTTTTTCAGGAATGTGATTTTTTTGAAGATTGTTTAAGTTTGTGAAAGGGACTTAATAAAAATGGGCTTGTACATGTAAGTATAACCAAATTATTCAAGGTGGCTTATTCGAGCTGCAAAATTGATTTTTGGCGAATACGGTTCATCAAATTTACGTTTTTCATACACCGTTGTAAAGAGGATTCCAAGACCTTAGAGTATCACTCAACCCCTCTCCTCTATTCAAGTTTGAGGGGTTGAAGAGCCCCCCTATTAGGGGGTTGCTCGTTCAAGCCTAAAATATACGTCAGCAGGTGTCCCTCAAACAAAATCATTCGACGTGTTTCGGGAAAATTTTCCACTCACTATGGGATAAGAAATATACGGGGTGGCTCGTATGAGATGGAACACCGTGTATAGATAGAGCATGACCTGGAATAAAACATAGGATAGGTTCTCACGGTAACGTGGGTAAAACAACGGGGAACAGCTAGTATTGTCTATTTCCATGATTATATCTGATTTTTTTCCAATGTCGAAGTGGATATTGAATATGAAAGGCCCCTTGACATTTTTTCAAAAACTGATTTTACAGATTCGAAACCGAATTTATTGCTGATGAAAATATCGATAACAACTCCATATGATGTAGGTGAGAGAGATTTTTATAGAATTCCTAGATATTCAAGTCAACCAACCTATTAATTTCCAAAATAATGTATGAAATCTGTTCAAAAATCTGTTTGATATCTGTTTTTCCGATAACCAGCTATCTCCCCTCACGAACGACAACCCTCAGAAGTTGAAACTCCCAGCGAACTAAAGATAAACGAGACTTTACTTTTCAACGTGCGATTCTTTGCACAGATTGACTGATACGCTCATAGCGGTCGATTGAACTACTTACGATAAATCATGGTTAATGTCCCTTCCAGAAATATCACCTTTAGTAATGGAGATATAAAAATGATTGTCATAAAATTGAATAATAGTAAGAATTCACCCCAATTTCGAATTGGGGTGAAAGTAACCAGGTTAAAATCAATGCCACAAAAACCCAAGCATCGGTTTTTTTCAAAAAGATAAATGATTCCGAACCAGAATAATACTGTTAAAATTGACACCAATATTGCTTGGCACAATCATATCGCTGGAATTGCAAAGGCTGCTTTTCGAAAGCTTGGAACACTGTTCCGAACCAGAAAACTGTACAGACCTCAGCAACTTTTCATGCTTTATAAAGCTCAGATCAGAACTTCTTTGAAGTAATATCCTTATGTATGCAGCTACGCCCCCAAACATGCCCTGAAGCTGTTGGTTTCCGTCCAGAAAAGAGTCATCCACCTGATCACTTGCAACCTTGATAGTCTGGAACATCGAAGAAAGGCTGGAAATGTGTCACTCTTCTATAGGGTTCAACTTAGTATTCCTCAAACTTCACTGTTCAAGAACTCTTTCATTTGGAGAACTGATTTTTTGTGGAATAAACTTCCTGAGAACGTTTTTCCAAATGAATTTAATTTCCAGGGATTAAAATCCAACGTGAATCGCCAGTTTCGCACAGGCATCGCTCTTGGAGTGCCTTAGGGATTTTCCTGTAGTGCTTGGGTTTTGTCATAGATGTCATTGAGTATTTTTTTATTATTGTTAGTTGACACGTCAAGAAGAGTATACTTCGACCACGCCACTAAAGATGACTGCCGCAGTTGCAGTCGAAACGTTTGGAGATTATAAACAAAGAATACCACTGCAAAATCCGGAAGCCAGAACATTGACGCCAGACGTGAAAGTCTACATACATTCCTAAATTACTAGTTTCATTAAAAATCAAATGAGGCCATTTACAAAACTTTGCATTCTGAGCGCATAAATTGCCACGAACTTCTTGTAGTTGTGAAGTATACGACTATATAAAAAAGTATAATGTATATAAACATAGAGGCAAGGTTAGTTCAAGGTTCACATAAGATCAATATTTGTATTCTACTTCATTGTGAACTAGATTAGTTAAAAATTATAAAATATAAACAAACAATCATGTCTAACTTTTCATAATATTGATGTTAACATGTGAGTAAAGTATGAAACAGTGTTCCAAAATACTGTTTTCGGAGATTGTTTTGGGATCTGTATATCATTTTCCGCGAAGAAAAATTCCAATGTATATCGGTCTTAGTCAAGTTCTCGATGTCCTTCAAAAAACTCATATGTCAAAGTGATTGTAGAAATAATAATTCATTTATTATTTACATATACGTTATAAGTTTTTTTAATAGTCTTCTGAAAATGTTACTGTGAAATGTTTTTTTTTTTTTAATAATAAATCGGCTTTATTGATAATACAAAAAAAACAATACAAAGATATATTTGAAAATGAAAATAGTTTAAAGGAGATTCTGGTACTAATTATATGGAAATATAAACATTACTAACTATTTTGTGACACAACTAGAAATACAAATCAATTCAAAGAACTATGATTATTAAGAGAAAAGGAAAGAAGAAAAAAAAAAGGAAAGAAGAAAAAAAAAAGAAGAAAAAAAAAAATGTTTTCACCTCTATTTTCAGAAAGACATATTTCAATTAATGAATCGTTCAATACAAAAAATTAAACAATTGAGAATTTTTTCACAACACAATGCAGAGTTTATTATTTTTCACAATGACCAGCTCATCTATTTGGTATCTGCCATCTAAAATCTGTCATTCGGGATATACTAAAAATTCTATCCGACAGAGAAGCTAAAAAAGCACACCTTGAAGGTGGAGGACTCTATAAAATCAAACACTCAGTTACAAGAAACATAACTTTGTGCAGTCATCAACAAAAGCAATCCTTTCACTTTTCTACAAAACAGATTCTTTAAATTCCCGGCTTTTGAAGAGGCGATGAGTCACTTTCTGGCTGAACCACCTAGCCTCCTAGATTTGAATATTACTGGAGTTTTTTCCCAACACCGAATCGTTATTTTTAACACCTCGACACGTGTTTCGATCAACAAGTGATCATCTTCAAAGAGGAAGATTAAAACTCTTTCAATCTTCCTCTTTGAAGATGATCACTTGGTGATCGAAACACGTGTCGAGGTGTTAAAAATAACGATTTGGTGTTGGGAAAAAACTCCAGTAATATTCATTACTACACCAAAGGTTCCAAACAGTGCGTCATGAGTCCTAGATTTGAGTTTGAGAGTTTGAGAACTGAGACGCTCTTGTTCATGATTTGACTTACAGATA